GTAGTGTAGTTTCCCGAGATATGATGACATTTAATTTCTTGCCCATATACAACTAAATATAAATTGAGTATATAAAAACAAATAATGAAAATAAAAAATAAATATGGTGGGTCAGCCCTGTATTAAAAAGTTAGTAAGACCACTATTCTGCAAAAAATAAAGTTAGTATAATTTAATCATAAGTAAATTACTGAACAAGTACAAAAATACACCGCTTCATGCTTAAATCATTCGAATTGACCAAAACCTAAAGAACAAAAGTTGTACAAAATTAAATTTCTTATAAGGCAACATAAACGAATTTAGTATAAACTAAACAGATTAAGAGAAAAACTTGATAGAAGAACCTAAACGGAATTTGACCGAAAAATCTGAAACTGAAAATGAAAAGAAACTACTCTAAGATGATTTTTTTGAAAAAGTTCAAAACAGGGAAAGTGTTCAGAATAATGTTTTACTTCAGTTTACGGGAAATTAATAAAAATGAGCTCTTTTCGTTGGTTAAAATAGCATCTAAAATCTGTATTGCTAAAATAAATAAAAACTATTGTAACAAAGATCATTCAATTACAAGTTCTAATCGATCTTTTTAATAAAAAGTTAAAATGTAAAAATTGTTTAGAAGTACGTATACATGTCTCTATCCAAATTTCATAATTTATTGAGATCGTTTACTATTTTTCGAGATGTACAAATCAAAGCAATTCAAACTATACCAATAAGTTTATATATAATTCTTTGTACCTTAATTCCACCACTTCGGTCTTTCCCTTCCGGCTTACACATATATCTCATGTGCCTCTCGTATACCCAACACTGCTCCGAAGCCAAACTTGCACGGGGATATCGTCCCAAGTTTGATCCACGCTCCCCGGACGGTTAGCATATACATATGCATGTAAATCAAAGCATTCGTATATTCTTAAAAACGAGACAACAATATATATATATATATAGACAGCCCCTCATCTACTCATGAGAACAAATATAAACATTCAAATAAATCTCATAATCTTCATTTTTTTTTTTTTTTACATTTTTTCTTACCAGCACTTAAATAACACAACAATTCATGGAGGCATGGTAGAGTATTCAGAATTTATCTATGGGTTTGTAATTTATTTTAATTTCATATATTTATGAATGTGATTACAACCATAAAATAAATATATATAAAAACTCTAAACCTTGCATACATAACTAAGCAAAACAATTGAAATCAATCTATCATCTACATGCAATTTTAATATCAAACCAACATCAAATAAATAAAAATAACAAAATAAATATAAATCAAGAAAACTGAGTTTTACACTCACAATTATTTTTTAAAAAATTAAAAAATACTTAAAAAATTAATAAAATCATCAAAATAAAATTCTAATCCTTTCTTATTTCCTTTCCTCTTTCTCAGAACTCCCCCGGCTCTCTCTCTCTCTCTCTCTCTCTCTCTCTCTCGGCTTTCTCTCCCTCTCTCCCTTTTTTGTTTTTGTTTTGTTTTGTTACACCTTTTTGTGATAAAACCTAGATCTAAGTATATTATACCTAATATACTATTATATTATATTTTACAATTACCACATAAATATAATATATATTTTATCAATATATAAAACACCTTTTATATATATATATATATATATAAATATTCAAATTAATTATATATAATTAAATATCACATTAAATTCTCATATACTCACGCAATTAATAAAGTCAAAAAAATAAAGTAGTAATAATAATAATAAATAATGACTTAAGAAAAATTAAGATCGCTATAAGTAGTGTACCAAAAATTTATTTATTTATTTATTTATAAATAAATTTGTTTACAATTTAAATAAATAAATAAATATTATTTTTGATCTTTATATTTTTAATTAGATCAATTTTAATTTTTAATTTTGTGTCAATTTGGTCCAATTAATAATACCAATAGTTTTTTTGACGAAAAATGATCATTGAATTTGTTCAGATTAACTCACCGAGTTGAGCAAATTTATTATTTTGCCTCTAAAAAAATGAAATATGTCACTTATATGCATATTTGTTATTAAAAAATGCGAACAGTTAGGGCAAATTACACTATGAGTTTCTCTATTTTGGCTATTGTGTTATTTTAGTTTTTGTAATTTCAATTGAATCGATTTTAATGTTGAATTTTTAATTTTGTCTCAAATTGATCTAATTGATAGCATGTTATATTGAGTTCAATTTATTTTTTTATATTTAGTTTGTGCATTTTAAAAAAATTTGGAAGTATTTTTTGTTTTTTCAAAATGACATTAGATTTCTTGGAAATTTTTTGGTTTAGTGACATTTCTCAAAATGCCATAAAATATTTGTTTATGACACTTTTCACTTAATGCCATAAAAAGTAATTTACACCTATCTAGTTTAGTGACATTTTAAAAAAAATGTCATTACTACTAAAGTTTAGTGGCATCTTTTAATAAATGTCATTAAAACAATTTCTTGTGTCATTCTTTTATAAAATGACATGAAATTGATACTATTAAATCACATTTTTGTTATAGTTAAGGGACATTTTTTTTATTGAAATGCCACTAGAGCCTTGTATGTTTGTCGCTCTGTGATATTTTTCTAAAACATGCCACAAAATATTCTTTTTGTAACATTTTTTAAAACATGTCACTAGTATAATGTCACTAAAATGTGTTTTTGTTGTACACATATACAAAAAAAAATAAATAAATAAATAAAAACCAAACAATTGAAAATTAATCTAACACGGTTTTTGATCCAGTGGAATGAAAGTTAGAATAGAATGATATGTTTGTCACAATAGAATTAACATTCACTAATCTAATTAAAAGAATGGTAATTCTATTTGGAGATCAAGAAAAAAACCATTTAATTAAGCTTACCTAGGTATTTATTCATTAAAAAAAAATTATGAATTAAACAGAAAAGCTATGGACCTAGACTCACCCACCTAGAATTTTTTGGGTGGGTGATTGTGTGGTGAAGATTAATTTATGTAGTGTGAGGTCCACGTAAGGTGTGATGGAGATTAATTTCTAAATATTTCCTGAGTTGATAAGGATAAATTTGTAGTATTACTCAAAATTAAAAGGATTGATCGACACTCTACCTTGGAAATTTGTGTCTTAAGTTGCAGGAGGGAGTTGCTATATCTGAAGATGAGCTAAACTCTCAAATTTATAACTAAGATGATTGTAACTCAAATAAAACCACAGATTAAACTTCTCTCGAGATTGCATGCTTTTTGGCATTCATTTTTCCCTCTTTGTTTTATTTTTTTTTCTCTCTCTTAGACAATCAAATAATTTTACCCACCATGGCAGCCCTTATTATTATTATTATTATTATTATTATTATTATTTATTTATTTATTTATTCACTTAATAAAAGATTTTATATGTTAAATTATCATAATCTTTTTTCATAAGACGAGGAAAATACATTAAATCTCAATTTATTTTCATTATTTCTTAATTTATAATTACTCCACATTTTAAAAAGAAAAGATTGTGATTTTAGGCGAGTACACCTTCCTTATGTCAAGAATGAATTGTTTCGCTAAACATGAAAACATTATTTTGATGCAGTAGTGCTCACACTACAGGAAATGTGTGATTTAATGGCGTTTTGTTAAACGTCACGTTTTTTAATATTTAACGACGTTTTATAAACGTCGCATTTTGGTTTAAATAAAACGGTACCATTAACCGATAGAAGACGTTTAAAAGCGCCTTCAAATGTTATCCCCCTCTCACGCGCTCTCTCCCTCTTCAAACCCTCATTCTAAATCTGAGAAACCCTTCTTCTCTCTCTCACTCTTTCAAATCTGAGAAACACAAATGTGTGAATCTCGCTCGCTCTCTCTAAACCCTTCAGAGATTACGATTCAACCTTAAAGTGAATCTCGCTCGCTCGCTCTCTCTAAACCCTTAAAGTGATTTCGATTTCGAAGTTCGGTGATCCAATCTCAGACTGATTTCAATTTCGTAGAGCAAAATCGATTTCTTAGAGCTGAATCGATTTCAATTTCGATTTGGAAGATACAATTCAACCTTCTTCAGCTAGGTGATTTCGATTCCGAAGCTCTCTCTCTCTCGATTTCGAAACTCCACCACCACCACCACCACCACCATCTACATCATCTACTAAGGTGAGCACTACTCTACAATCTCGATTTGGTGTCGAAGTTCTCTCTCTTTCTCTCAAGATCTTCATTATGTTGATTCTTTTCCTAGGGTTTACAATCTTGAACCTCCTCTTAGGATTTGGATCAACTCTCCTCTTGCCTGACTTGCCCCGTGCGATTTCAGGTGGTAAATTCGCTCTCTGATCTTGAAGTTCATATTTAATTATAAATTTGTTGTGAGAGATTTCAATTTGAATCCATGTGTTCATTTGATTTGAATTTGAATATGAATTTATAATTGTCAAATCTTGAAATTCAATCTGTGATGCTATGATGTTGAACTTGAGTGATTGCTTCCTCATGAATTTACTTGAGTTATTGTGTACTTATCATCTCTAAGTTTATATTGCAAGGCTTCTCTGTTTCAGTATTCTGTTCCCTGTTGCTGTCCTTCTCCGATATTGAAAAACCTGAGTGTATCCAACCATGCTTAGTGGTTGTGCTAAGACTGATTTGAGGGTTCTATTACTTGTTCATTTGAAAAAATTCTAATGTGATTTTTCACAACACTGCCATGTATCATGCATGTGATTCCTGTAGATATTGTATTTGGGTAAGAAAATTAAATTAATAGATATATAAAACGCAAGTTTGATATATACTCTAGTTCTTGTAATTTGTTTCTTAGTGTTAATTTAATCTCCTATGTTCTAATACATCAATTTTCCCTTTGATTTTTCTTAAAATTGTATCAAAGAACCAAAACCCCATTTGTTCTATTCTCTTTCTCTCTCTCTGTTTCTGCACTGTTGTAGAAGAAGATGGTGCACTAACAGAGATATCATCATCCCTGTAACTAGGGAGTAGATGTTGTTAATGAAAATGAGGATGAATCACAGACTACCCTTGCTTTAGTCTGTGGAAACTCTGCTACTAACAAGAGAACCAGTCCCAAACTTCTCTCTCCTCTCCTGCTGCTTGATTTTTGCTCGTTCAGACTTGTCTCTCTTATGTAAGCTCTTCCCTCTTCCATGCCTTTCCTTCTTTTTTCCCCTTGATTTCTCATCCTATTTCTGTCTCCTCATGTTTTTTTTCTTCTGGGTTTTGCAGATTCATTTGGACACGAAGATGCTAGCATTGTTGCTGAGATCGATGTAAATGCTCCCCTTTGTTCCTCAATCCCAAATGGTTTGCTCTCTCTCTCTCTATATATATATATATATATGTGTGTGGGCTATTTTATATACAGTTTGGGCTTTTGGTGTAATACTATCAATATGCAATTGTATTGAGATGGCTATCAATAATATCTTATATATTTGTTGGAGCTGTATTCTTCACTTATGTTGCCCTATTCTGATCTTCTTCTTCTTGGTTTCTGGCATGCTGAATATTGTTCAGACGATCTGCCTCTATGGGGTATGTATTAACAAATGATTATTAAAGCTTTTTTCACTAATTTTATAATTTGCATATAGGTCAGGTCTTCTTATTCTCAAGACAATAAAGCAGTTTGTGGAGCCGAGAAATAGTGTACAATTTGCATATAGATCTCTGATGGCCCCTTACTTGCCACAGAGTGGGGCTGGTGGTGGTGGCAGTCCATACTCTGAAGGCGGTGCTCTCTATGCCCTAGGCTTGATTCATGCAAACCATGGGGAGGGTATCAAACAATTTCTTCGTGATAGCCTATGCAGTACCAACGTAGAGGTGCTTGCTCTCTATAATCTATTGTTCGGTTACTTTTGTGCACCATGAATTTCTGTTATAATAGTGGTGTTGGAAACTTTGATTGGTGCAGGTTATTCAGCATGGTGCATGCTTGGGTCTGGGCTTGGCAGCTCTTGGAACTGCTGATGAAGATATCTATGACGACGTAAAACTGTGCTTTGTACTGACAGTGCTGTTTGTGCCACCACCACCATCACCATCTGCATCATCTACTAAGGTGAGCACTACTGTCTACAATCTCGATTTCGGTGTCGAAGTTCTCTCTCTTTCTCTCAAGATCTTCATTACGTTGATTCTTCTCCTAGGGTTTACAATCTTGAACCTCCTCTTAGGGTTTGGATCAGCTCTCCTCTTGCCTGACTTGCCCCGTGCGATTTCAGGTGGTAAATTCGCTCTCTGATCTTGAAGTTCATATTTAATTATAAATTTGTTGTGAGAGATTTCAATTTGAATCCATGTGTTCATTTGATTTGAATTTGAATATGAATTTATAATTGTCAAATCTTGAAATTCAATCTGTGATGCTATGATGTTGAACTTGAGTGATTGCTTCCTCATAAATTTACTTGAGTTATTGTGTACTTATCATCTCTAAGTTTATATTGCAAGGCTTCTCTGTTTCAGTATTCTGTTCCTTGTTGTTGTCCTTCTCCGATATTGAAAAACCTGAGTGTATCCAACCATGCTTAGTGGTTGTGCTAAGACTGATTTGAGGGTTCTATTACTTGTTCATTTGAAAAAATTCTAATGTGATTTTTCACAACACTGCCATGTATCATGCATGTGATTCCTGTAGATATTGTATTTGGGTAAGAAAATTAAATTAATAGATATATAAAACGCAAGTTTGATATATACTCTAGTTCTTGTAATTTGTTTCTTAGTGTTAATTTAATCTCCTATGTTCTAATACATCAATTTTCCCTTTGATTTTTCTTAAAATTGTATCAAAGAACCAAAACCCCATTTGTTCTATTCTCTTTCTCTCTCTCTGTTTCTGCACTGTTGTAGAAGAAGATGGTGCACTATCAGAGATATCATCATCCCTGTAACTAGGGAGTAGATGTTGTTGATGAAAATGAGGATGAATCACAGACTACCCTTGCTTTAGTCTGTGGAAACTCTGCTACTAACAAGAGAACCAGTCCCAAACTTCTCTCTCCTCTCCTGCTGCTTGATTTTTGCTCGTTCAGACTTGTCTCTCCTATGTAAGCTCTTCCCTCTTCCAAGCCTTTTATTCTTTTTTCCCCTTGATTTCTCATCCTATTTCTGTCTCCTCATGTTTTTTTCTTCTGGGTTTTGCAAATTCATTTGGACACGAAGATGCTAGCATTGTTGCTGAGATCGATGTAAATGCTCCCCTTTGTTCCTCAATCCCAAATGGTTTGCTCTCTCTCTCTCTCTCTATATATATATATATATATATGTGGGCTATTTTATATACAGTTTGGGCTTTTGGTGTAATATTATCAATATGCAATTGTATTGAGATGACTATCAATAATATCTTATATATTTGTTGGAGCTATATTCTTCACTTATGTTTCCCTATTCTGATCTTCTTCTTCTTGGTTTTCGGCATGCTGAATATTGTTCAGACGATCTGTCTCTATGGGGTATGTATTAACAAATGATTATTAAATGGTTGGCTCTTGTTCTTATTCATTAACTTTTGGTTTTGGTTCATAGATATTTACAACCATTCCATGAGCTGTTGAGCTGTTTTTGGGTTTTATGCAGAAATTTGATTGCTTGCATATTTTGCAGTGGTCTCTGATTAGATTCATGGACTTCTAGTCCCTAGGTTTAAAAGGGTTATTCTATTTAATATCTCCAGTTCTTGACATCTTGGTGCTAGTGGTGGATTTTCTTTTAAATGAAAAAGGCATGTTGTGATTGTATTTCATTTCATTATGTATTCATGCTTTTTTATATTTCTTTTTCTCTCTCTTTTGTCAACTAATGTATTTTTTTTTTTAAATTGTTCCATCTCTATTTAATATCTCCAGTTCTTGACATCTTGGTGCTAGTGGTGGATTTGCTTTTAAATGAAAAAGGCATGTTGTGATTGTATTTCATTTCATTATGTATTCATGCTTTTTTATATTTCTTTTTCTCTCTCTTTTGTCAACTAATGTATTTTTTTTTTAAATTGTTCCATCTGATTTTTCCTTCAATGAACAGGGGGTGCAACCTTGTGCTCTCTATCTGCAAAATGGATACTGCAAGTTCGGGCGCACTTGCAAATTTGATCATCCAATGGGAACAGTAAGATATAGTCCATCAGCTTCATCTCTTACAGACATGTCGGTTGCTCCTTACATGGTTGGGCCTTCTCTTGCTACTATGGCTCCATCGTTTTTATTTCAGGGTCTAACCCCCATTCAAGTAGAATGCCTTCTTATAGAAACACTTCAAGTAGTTCAGTTGGTTTGATCTTTTCACAAACCGGTTCTGCATCACTTTCTGATGTCCAGCTGTCAAGTCAGAGTATTGTCCCTTTAAGCATTAGTACGATAGCACAAGACAAGGTGGTGAAGTTCGCCATACAAGTTAGAGCAAAACCCAAAAACCTTTTTCACTGCCATCTAGGTCTGTTTTCACCGAACATCTCTTCTATTCTTGGAACTCATAAAGCTTTGTATAGTTTGTTGTGCAAAGTTTCATATCTTATTGTCATACTGATATATAGCTGTAGACGTCCCCGAACGCCCCGGGAGGAACGAGTCCCGTTCTGTTCATTTGGGGTTCACTACAGTTCGGACTCTCAAATTGTCACGGTTCTAAATCTGAACCAAAGAGTCCAAATCCGGCAAATCGTTCTGAGAAAACAGATCTTGAAAGAAGTGCCAAACATGGACTGCTTTGCCAGATACAGAGTCGCCACCTAAATGTTTTATTTTGGGGGGAATTTAGGAAACCCTGACTCGTTAGCCTAAGGCCACGTGTCCGTCATCACCAAAGTTGCCTCGGCTCGGGAACTTGGGTACGATTGGGGAAGGTCGCTTCGTGAGCACCCCCGCTCGCCCGATCAAAGATCGACCTCTACTAACCATGATATCTATTTTTGAAAAGATTGTGCGTTCTTATTCCGGTTATTGGCCTAGATTACTATGTGATGCGCACAACATACAAGTATAGACTGGATCGCCTGAATTGGAACAAAACATTTCATGTTTGTTTGTTTGATTGAAAATGGTTTGATGGTGCTACCCGCAAGTAGGCTAAGACGTGGA